TCAGAGCAGAGCTGGACTGGTCCCAGGGTCACCTTGACTGCTGCCCTGCGTACCCTTGGAGGGGAAGAGGTTGGATTCCAGAGGACACAAAACCCATGGGGCTCGGAACTGGGAGTAGATGTGGGTTGGCCTAGAAGGAAAACAGACTCCTCTGTTTCCAAAGAACTCTAAGGCCAAGAGGGAGACAAGGTTGGGCGGCTGGAGGGAGGAAGACCAGAGCTTCCCCAGGATGGCCTTCCCCACGGTGTGTCAGGACATCTTGTCCCCACGGCCATCTTTCCTGAAAGGGGCCTTTTGCCAGAGCGATTGGCAGGACAGTGCAGCAGGCAGGACCTGCGCATCCTTGGCGAAGGCATGGAGCCCCAGGAACTAAGCTGTGGCCCATGGGTTTCAAAGACTTCTACAAACAGTGGCTCCAGGGGGTGCAAACCTAACCGCTCCGACATGGGTTTCCGGACTCTGCAACTCAGCCGCACATGCAGGGTGTCTCCTTGCTGAGCACCACACCCTACGGCATTCAGGACAGCAATGAAACACAGATAAGGAGGGCTGCCTGGCACCAAGAGTGAGTCTAGAACTACACAGGACAAGTTACACCTTGAAGAATCGCTGGGCGCTTTTCCCAAGCCACTTCCAGCCAGACTGTCACGGGGCTCGTAACATTTTTAGAACTGCATATGAAACGCAGACCTCCTTTGCCAATCCTCATCCTGACACAAGGTGCCCAGATTTCAACCTCATGCTGAGTGCCATGCACTAAGGCCACCAGTGATGCAGGCGGGCAGGAGATAGTGAGTGATCTCAGAATGTTCCCCAGCCTTTGAGGGCTTCAGAAATCTCTTTCATCTCTTTTGCCCACAGACAGTGAGGTAGGAAGAATTGTATGCAGCATTTTAAAGTTCGAATTTACTTCCAAAATGGTTTGGTTCGTCTTCCTCCTGGGATAGGTAAGAGCAGAGAGAGGCTCAGAGACCTGACCTGGGCTGGCCAGGTTTCCATGTCACCTAAAGGGTGGGAAAAGACTCAGGGCCCCTTCCCTCCACCCCATGAACGGGAAAGCTCCACAGGCAGCCTGGGATCTAAGGTGTGCAGGAACGTGCACACCTGCACACACACGCACACACAGAGCAGGGAGGCGACAGGGTAGGAACCGACTCCTGTGGTCAGGCAGAGGTCCACCTTTGTTGTTTGCAGCCTGGTCCTTGGTGACAGAGGGGACTGCAAGTCCTCAGCTGGATGCCGGCAGCTGGTTAATGCAGGGCACTGTCAGGTTTGTGGTCAGTGTGGTGTCTTTCGCACAGCCAGGGGGCTGTGTCAGTGTGCAGTGCCCTGCTCCCCGGAGAGAATCTTTCCCTTATTAGCGCCTCATGCTGCTTCCCTTTGCTCCCGGTTGTTCCAAATGTGTTACAAACAACTCCGTGCTCGGGGCCTGAGCCACCACTGCTGCTGCTTGTCAAGGAAAGGGGGAAGACGATGACTATCGACTGCAGTGAGCTTCTCTGATTCCCGTGCTCATGCTGGCTTTTAAATGCCCGGAGCACTCTCCTAACGTAAAGCCTTGTCCCCTCTGGGCACCCCTGGCTCTTGTGTTTCAGGAAGTGGAAAAGGAGATGTTTTCAGGGTCACTGGAAAGTAGAGGGAGGGCTGGATCAGAACTTGTCCTTCCCAATTCTTGGGCCATGCGATCTACCCGCCACCCTGCAGAACACTGGATGGCTGACTGCTTGACCTCCTTTGTCTAGAGACTCTCAGGTCTGCATGGACCCAGGATCCCTGCAGGGCTTGCTGAGGTAGGGCTGGAGCCCCAGCTGCAGGGCTTGACTAGCGAGTCTGGCCCGGGCCTGGGAAGGAGCATTCTAATGGGTTCCTAGTGCTGCTCCTGAGGAGGCTGGAGACCCCTGAGTCACCACCTTCCTCCTGGGAGACAAACATGGGTGCTGCGAGCTCAGCCAAAGCTTGCTTAGTGTCTTTTGGGACAGGTCTCTGCTGAGTAAGGGTTTCTATTTTATGGCTTTTTCCTCTTTTCCAAATCCCAGTTTAGAAACTATTTATTTTTAATATTGGGGCTCAACGGAGGATGCAAGTTAACTAAATAAATTTGAATGTGTACTTCAGTACTTGAGATGGATTTTTCTAAAATGTGAGCACTTAAACTAGACAAAATATTTCCCCTGGGATCAGCCGCTGCACACATACCAGCTCCGGGTTTCCAAGGGACCACAGGAAGGAGAATCCAGCCCCAAAGTGCTGGACTGCCGAAGCTTCTTCTGTCCCCTCTAAATGCAGAATGCACTTCTCAAACTCAGGAGTGCAATCAACCCACGCTTCTGGGTTGTTTATATGCTTACATTAGGTAAGACTTTTCAGGAGGTGGGGCTCATTTCCGCAAAGGAAAGAGGTACTTAGAGTGTTCAGGTTAAAGAAAAGCAGCCTACATGTAAGCAGGTAACGAACACGAAGGCCTTCTGTAGCACATGCATGGTGGGATTTATTCATTGCAGGACTGGATTGCAGAATTCCAAACTGCTGTTGTTACCCACATTCAGATCACTGCTATTCAGGAAAGCCAGGGCCAGTGCGGGGAGCTCCTACAGGGTGGCTTGTACCTACCAAATCAGAAAAAGGGTTTGGGTGAGTGCCTATGGAAAGTCTGATGGGCCATGTAAATTTTTTGTTGTTGTTGTTAACACAGAATGTAATGTGTAAAAGATCACAATATTTTTCCGTTAATGTGTAAACGTTCTTCAGGCAACTGGCTGCCTCCAGTCACATATCAGAAAGTGAGGAGCGTGCACTCTTTTCTAGATAATAGTGGCTAGAACTGGGAATAGATAAAGGTGCTGCAAAGACCAAAGACGAGGGCGTGACATGGTGTGACCAGCTGGAGTGTGTGCATGTGCTGGCTGGTTGTGTGGTGACACCTGTTTAATCCCCAGACTCAGCCCTGGTGGAGAGTCCACCAGCCACCACTTCAGTGAAACCAAGGGTCAGCTTCCAGTCAGTCCCCCAGCCATGGAGCCAGCCTGGAAAACAGCAGTTAACCCACAGCTAAAAGAACGGCCCCATTCCATCAAACCCTCATTTTGCTGGTTAATACTCTGAAGTTAGATCAAACTCATGGAAGTTTCTTTCCTCACTGACTACTCCATCTACCTAGATTTACGTACACGTTGTTTCTCATCTTAACTTTGTTTCTTTACTGAACAATGGCTTACCAAAATGGCACTACTGATGTTAGCAGACATATGAAACAGATCTGATAGAGATAGATGTGCTTTCTCTTAGGCTTAAACTCCAATGCTGCTGACAGTCTTGGCTGCAGCTAAGGCAAGGTGGAAGTCTCCCTCAGTTGAAAAGATATTGCACATTTCATCTTGAGTCTATTCACCATTTAAATGAGCATGGGATGATTTAACTGATTCTTTCTGAGGTTTAGTTCAAATCATCACTCAGAATTGTGATATTTTTCACAGAACTATTATTGCCAGTAAGAAGACTTTATAGGCAGCTCCTTGGTCCAGGGGTATGATTCTCGCTTTGGGTGCAAGAAGACTTTATATACACAACCAATGACCATGGAAGCTCACGAATAGGGTGAAAAACAATAGATTAAAGCAGTGATTGGAGTTATTTCCAAGCTTCTGAATCACTAAACAGGGTTAACTGCTTCACCAATGATGGTAGTACGACTTGGTTACTCATGTTAACCCCAAGCTGGTTAGTTTAGTAGCTGCTCTTTTTACTGCTGTTGTCTCTCTGATCTCATCTTCTAATGAAAACGTTGCCATATTTACCAAACTCCTTTAACTTCAAGGAATTTGGATGTCACACTTAGTTCTCATTTCTTGTTACTCAACCTTTGCAAATGGTTTAGTTCTGTTAATATAACAACTAGTTGAGAGAGCAGTGACCCAAGTTCTAATCCCATGCCTGGACAATCATGACTGACAGCCCAGGATCCTCCTGGAGTTTAGAGTCCTCCCTAGATTCACCGGGCAGACTGGAATAAAGGAACTTGTCCCATGTGATCTGTTCCCCCACTCACACAGCACAAGTCAATGTTTGCTTTGACTTTTCTGATCCTTGTTTATGAGACGATACAAGAGGCGTGTGTGTGTGTGTGTGTGTGTGTGTGTGTGTGTGTGTGTGTGTGAGAAATAGAGATGATACACTGCACAGATATAGTTCACCACGTTCTGGGATGGGTTGTCAGTGTTCAAATGGGGAACCTGATGAGTAGGAACAGATGCTTTTCCTCCTTAATGGTCCCTTCTCTCATTTAGAATCCACCCATTTATTTCCCTGAGATTTAGTGATAACTTTAAACACTTTAACTAAATTACCCAGCGGCTTGGCAGCGGTCACGGAGGCAAATCTTTTTAGAAATTCTAGCAATCTGTTAGATCATGGGTACTGTGATATAAAATCTGCACGCTCCACGTACAAAAATTAAATCAGTGCAATGGATACAAACACATACTGCAAATGGCATCATTTCTAAATCTAGGGTATGTAACCTGTCTCCAAATATTGAATTTCTGTGGGTTTTTTTTTTTTTTTTTCAGTTGTTGACTTTCTAAATTTGGACCAATTTATTCTCATTATCCTTAAGTAAACCTACTTTGATTTTTTTTTTACAGTTATTTTATATCAAATAGGACCAGCCAGGCCCAATTCATGGATCCTGATGTTGCTAGGATACATGGTTTGGTATCTGATGAAAGTATATCACTTCAAAAGGGAAAACTTTCAAGTGTCCTAGAAAAAGACACTCCTGTCTCCTACTGCAGAAGACAGACCCAATCCTCGAGCTTTCTCAGAAGCTCACAGACGCAGGATTGGCCTCTCCAGGCTTTGAAATAAGCATCTTCCCCCGGGGGGCTGTTCAACTACTATCCCTAGTCAGGTTGGTCTTAAAGCAAGGAACACACGTATTTATAATAAAACACGTTTTCATGTTTGTTTCACCGTGAAGAGAAAAAAACCCAAGAACCCCCAGATTTTATGTACTTTGAAAATATATTTAAAAACATTAAAAATTCTATATTTAAAACATATATTATATGTTGATTGGTACACTTAAATAGAACTTGTATTTACAATAGGCTTCTGATGCGGTTAAGTTTTAATGCCAATTTTTTTCAATAACATAATTATATAAATATACTAAAATACAATAAATATTTTTTTCTTGTTTTACATGGTGAATAATATCTTTACCATAGAGAGAACAAGGCCACAGACATTTACTTACATTTTCAATGGGAATCACCATAAAAAAGCAACAAGCCTGTTGCCATGCATAAAAACACTGCCACGAAGAGACCACAGCAAAAACAGAACAGAACAGAACAAGAACGAACAGCAACAGAGATTTTAACAAAATAAATCATAGGTCAACATAAATCACCAAGCGTGTGACTGTGATGTGTCTTGTTAGCAACAGCCATGGACCACATCGCCGCTGGACGTCTACCACAAAACCACGTCACAGATTTGGTCCTTATAATACTTTTAAGACTGCAATGGTGACTTTGTTTGGTTTGTAAATGTTGTTCCTCAGAAGGAAGCTGCAGAAAGTGAACAGAGAGCAGATATTCCAAGCATTCCTACAGGTTAAAAATAATGACCAATATTGTAATCGTCAAACAGCACAAAACAAACCTATACTACATAAAGGCTTCCCAAGACAGGTATTCAGGTGGAACCATAAAAGGAGAGGCTAGCTCTACATGAAAGACTGAACAAACAGAAATTGTTGCTGGCGGACTCTTTCCCCCCTCCCGGTCCCCTGGGAACACCTGCTTTCCCTTACTCCTCACCCTCCTAAGACACAGCAATTGCTTGAAGCTCGGTCTGGGGCTCCAGGACACGGGTCCAGCCACTAACAGTGTCAGGTTTGGGGTGAATGGGTAAAACGGCTTAGCACGAGCTTTTACTGGGGTCCCTTCCTCCCAGCAGCACTGCCTAGCTCCCAACTCCACTTCTCCTAACCCCAGGGCAAGGGAAGCAGGGGCCATCACCAGACAGAATGGCCAGGTGCCGCTGTGGACATCACCTGGGACCAAGGCATTGTCCTCTGTCCTGGCCTCATCTGCAGAGCAAGGCATTTTCCCAAGTCTTGTCTCTGGACAAGATTCCTATCCTTTCAGGCCTTGATCTTTTGAAAGCCTGAGATCTTTTCCTGTTCTTTTTCCTTTGCCCAAAAGTTCTCAACAGACAAAACCCTGGTTTCCTCAGTCTAGGTGCAAAGCAAGGAAGTGTTCTTGCAGTAAACGTCTTTGATCTCAGTGGACTGAGCTCCTGATCACAAAACTCCACCTTGGCTCCGAACCTGCTCCAGGCGAATCCTCCAACTTCCTGCACAATGATCCAGGATGGGGTGGAGACCAGAAGTCCGCTTGGGCGTGATCCTCCGGCTGAGAACCACTCGAGCACAGTTAGGTAATGTAGGCACTTAAAGCACGAGGTCCCAGCAACTTGACAGGGGTCACTCCGGGGCCACCTCTGGAGGGTGCTCCTGTAGGAATGTCTCGAGTACCCTCCCCCACCTCCACCTGGACCTCAGGGTGGCCACTCAGAAATTCCTCCTGCACTGCCAGGAACCAGTATGTCAGCTCTGCTGGCCTCTGAGGCCATTCCATCTCATGTCACCGGCAATGCAGAGTCCTGCTGTGACCTATGTGTCCCTGGGTTTATATGGAGCTCTCTCTTTCCCTGGCAGGACACTGTGAAACTTAATCGTGATTTTTAAAGCATTACCATGATTTACCCAAATGACCCTTTGTAAAAAAATACTTCTTTGGGGGTTATTTCTTATTGTTCTTTTTCTCTTCTAAAAAAAATAATAAATCACCATTTTCCATGCGTGCCGTGATGTGACACATCTTGTTCACAAAAGTGGTGGAAGCTTTCAAAGCGCGCGACTGAACTTTCTTCCTTAAGTTAAAAGCGAAACAGACGGGGGCCAAAGGGGGAGGAAGGGAAGAATTGCCTGAGCAAAGAGAGGGGTCTTTGGGATCAAGCAGCTCTCCCAGGTCTGGAGAGGGACCCAGGAGGTGTCTCTTGGGAGATGCAGGGTAGGCGTCGGGTTCTGTTGCCTTTGTTTTTATTCCTTTCCAGTTATCTGATTGATACTGCAAACGTCTTCACAACATAGAAAGGTATCTTTGATCAACCAGAACGGGTAGAAGAACTCTTTCCCCAACCCTACTCCCTGTGGGAACTCAAAAAAATAATAATAAAGTAAAATAAAACAAACAAACAAACAGAAAAAAAAAACACAAAACAAACAAAAAGATTCCCCTCCCGTCCCATCCCCTAAGCCAGTAAAGCAATGACAACAGCACCTTGACATTGTTTTAATTCCAATGCTATCAGAAGTTAAAAGCAGTAAAACAGACAAGAGTACTAACAAGAGAACGGAGATACTTACTGTCTAAAATGTAAACGGAATGTTTTGGTTCAAATTTTTGTTTTTGTCTTTTTTTTTTTTTTGTCTGTTTTCTGAAAGAGGACAGTTTATTATCAATTCACAATTAAAGCAGCATGCAATTTATTAGTATTTTTTTTTAAACTTTTTATGTTTGATTCTTGGCAACGGCAACAAACCACAACATTATCGAGGAATGAAATGCAGATTTTTGTTTAAAGTTGTGCGCAAATGACTGTTTTCTTTCTGGTCATGGATATGTCCAATAAATAGATTGTAGAACCACTGTACTGTATAAACTTCATTTATACATGCAGTTCATAAAATTATTTTTTTCTTAACTGAATAATTTACCCTGTTATGTATATATACAAATAGATAATTTCTGTCTCAATATAATCTATACAACATAAAGCCACTATCTTCCCCTCTTAATGGTCAGTGTACATACACAGGAAGTGTCTATCCTGATGAACCGCCAGCCAATCCGCTTTTTGCTATCCATGGTGAGGGCCCGCACATAGGACTGGGTAGTTCGGCACTGCGAGTTCCAGTGCCTTTTGTCTATGCCTCTGCACCCTTCCTTGGTGTAGCCCATGGGATTGCACTTGGTCTCGTAGAAGTATTGCTTCAGCTGGCCTTTGGACACGGGGACCTTTTCCAGGACTGTGACCGTCCCGCCGGACATGTCCACTGCAGTCTTTTTATCCGCGGCAGTGACCCACTCGCTGATGCTGTCACACACGCTCAGCTCCCCACGGCGGGCAGGGTCGGAGTGGCGCCGGACCCGCATGGACATATTGGCAGCGTCCAGGTAATTTTTGTACTCCTCGAGCAGGAAGAGCAGGGGGGGCTCCAAAGGCACTTGGCTGCTCAGCATCACCCTGGAAGTGTACAAGTCCGCGTCCTTCGTGTTCTCCTCGTGGGGCCTGACTTTCTGGTCTTCGTCCAACAGCTCCTCGATCACGTGCTCAAAAGTGTCGGCCAGCGATGAGGACGTCAGGCCCCGGGCGCCCACCTTGGGCCCGGTCGCACTCTCCAGAGCCCCGTGGGTCCGCACGCCGGGGTAGGCCAAGCTGCCTGGGCCTCGGACGCTGGCTTCTTTCATGGGGGCGGCCTTCATGCAACCGAAGTACGAAATAACCATAGTAAGGAGAAGGATGGTCATCACTCTTCTCACCTGGTGGAACTGCAGGGACAACAGAAAGAGACAGGACAGTGGTCAGGGCTCCAATAAATAGATTGTAGAACCAACACGGCCCCTCGGTTCGCAATACCAGACCCATCTGCAGGACCGAGGGTTTTACTCTTCTGATCAACTCCAGCTGCGCCATCCCCAAATCAGTGTCGGGGAGCGCTCTACGCGGCGTAATACGAACCAGGCCACGGGGTGCTTTCCTCAAGACTCAGCATACGAACTCGCGACTACACGGCTTCTCGGCAAGTGAAACAAACTGTGCTTCATGTCTCCCCTTCCCTCCCACTCTAGCAGCTTTTGTAAGTTTAATTTTTAATGATCTCTGCTCCGGCTGTCACAGGGAACACAGAATCAGAAATGTTACCAAGCAACAATTCCATGTGTAATCGTCATTTTTTTTTTTCCTAATTAGCAACATGGTCCTTTGCAGAAATGTGTCACAGAAACCGCAGAAGCCCTGGGGTCTCGGGGTCTGTGTCGCTCGTGATGTGTAGGAACGGACAGCACTGCCAATCGGCAGCCTGACAGCAGGAAGGGCCCTCCATCTCCCCAGGAGATGATCTACTCTAGCAGAGGAGACAGACCATTTCATTACGCCACCATGCTCTACAGAGAAGGAAACCAAAGGCCTTGCGTTGGAAGGAGAGTTTCTAATATTAAAACTGTGAACTCCCAGTTCTGCTGTTCTTTCTACTGCACCTGGGTGGCCAGAAGTCAAAACGCTTGTGTATTCCAAGCAGAAATCATTTTCTACACGTTCTTTTTAATGATGTGTCTGTGCCCGGGGCTGATGTCATGAAAGCGATGTGTGTGCTTCAGAGAACTGTAAAAGTCAGGGCTGAGAGAGGCAGGAAAGGCAATTTCCAATCGCTCCGCCAGCCCTCCGAAGCCTCCTGCCTTGGCTTTTCAGGCCAATACTCCGATCTAGTAGGAAAGCTCCATTTCCCTTTCACTGGAAATGTGCTTTTGTTTGTGTGAGTGCGTGTGCATACACCTGCATGCGTGTGCGTGTGTGTGTGTGTGTGTGTGTGTGTGTGTGTGCGCGTGCGTGAATTCTGTGTTTATCGTACCTTTAAAAGGCAGAGTGGTATTTCACACACTTTAGAACAGGGAGTGAGTACTTCTTTCTGTGCTTTTGAAGTTTCTGGGAAGCCCCTTAACTGAACACCACAAAACTAATCTCTTCCTGTTTGCCAGAGGGTGCTCTATGCTAAACTTGGCCCCATACATACAAGCATGCTCAAAGAGCCAATTAGCATGGATGAACAAGCAAAATATAAATGTACCTATGGACCAACCCAGGGTCACCACCAGGTGGTCAAGGACTTGAGAAGCACTTACCTGTGTGAAGCCTGTGCCTCTCGAGTAAAGAGTAGCACCCCCCAGGCCTGGTACTAACTTCATCCCTACTTCTCAACTCTGGAACATGGACTTAGAAACACACACACACAAACACACACACACACACACACACACACACACATGCACAGGACAGTCAACATGCTGGACCAATCCACAAGAAAAGGGACTATGTCTCAGCCCACGACGTGTCCCCACACAGCAAGGCCACCTACCTCCGGTCTAGAGGTCACAGTGCAGCAATGGCTGAAAACTTGGTATTGAAAAGCCAAAGTTTCTGCTCCCCACTTTTGAAAGAAGCAACATTTTCTACCACCAAGAGACTTCATATCACCGCTAAAGACAAACACATTTCCCACTACAGTCACTCTCACTGTGTGGGAAGAGCACGCGTTCTCAGAACTGCTGGGATTGTCTGGTGATCTGAGTTAGGAAGGGCAAACTGGCTGGAATAAAATGTGAACGCTCGCTCTGCTAATACCTAGAGTGAAGTTTCGGAATTTTGTACCATCAAAGAAAGGGGTCCTCCAAGGAGGCTTCTATTCTAGGCAGGCGGTACTTACACCAGTGAACGAAAAGCTTTCTCCTACCATTCCCAGTCCAAATTAAAACAACCCAAGGGGCTAGCGAAATTGAGGTCGAGGAAAGAATGCAAATTTGGACTAGTTTAGTTATCCAGATCACACGGGCAGAGACTTGCTGCTATCAGCTGTCTTTTAATACCCTGCTTCATCAAATCTAAGATACCATTATTTTAAAACACACCAATTTATGCACCAGCAGGAAAGAGAAAATCCAGCCAAAGCCCTGCTTTGTCACAATCCTTCCTCATCCCGCTGCCCCCAGCCTGGCCCAGCCCTTGAGAGCTCAAGCTGTGACTCTACTGTCCCCTTGCTATAATGGGCACTGTTTGTCTTCCGTTCAACCTGGACAACCACTTCTGACTGACCACGCTCATCTCACTTGCTTACGCAAAACCCAGCAATGGCACTTCTGTTTCACTGGGTTGACTCTGGCATTCTCTAGCTGGTATTCAATGCCTCAAAAATCTGCCTCAACCTACTCAGCTGATTTTCTTGTATAATCAATGCTTCATCACTTCTGCTCTGATTAGAGAGTCTGGAGCAGTACTGCCTCGGACTGACTTGTGCTGCTCTGCAGGTAAATGGGAACCTCAATCAATCAATCAAAATCTCTCTCTGTCTCTGTCTCTCTCTTTCTTACCTCTATCTTGAAATCTCACTTATTCTTCATGGCCCTACTTGAGAGTCAAATCACAGTTACCACCTCCTGTAATTACTCCAGTGCATTCTGCCCTCTCTCTCCTCTAAATCCCCCCCCGTTATTATTTTATTTAGTACTCATCCCTACTCACATGTCAGTGGCACTGTTAATCACGACCAGACCGCAGTCAGGAGGTAAGGGCTCTGAGGGACTGGATCATGTCTGATCTCCCATAATGTCACTAATTATGGGAAAAACTAAACATCAGTAGTAGTGCTTTGTAATAGCTCAGCAAGAGGCGTGTCCCAGTCACTTTCTCATCACTGGGACACAATGCTTAACACCCACGACTTTCAGGAGGAGAGGTTTACTGGGGCTTGTGGTTTTTAAGAGTCCATGGCTGCCGGGCCCCAAGGCAGGAAGAACATTGCAGAGGAGCCTGGGTGGAAGACAGCTGATCACATCATGGTGGCCAGGAAGCAGGGAGAGATGGGAGGAGCGGGCGGGAGAGGGATCCTGCCAGGCCACACCCGAGTGGCCCCTCTTCCAATCTGACTAGGCCCCACCTTCTAAGAGCAAGCCAGCTCTATCTGCAATTCCATCACCTCCAAAAGCCCCGCCTATGAGTGCATGAGGCCTCTGTGGGACACGTGATCTAAACCACAACAAGGTGCATTAAACTACGAGAAAAGGCGGTTCTAACACAGCTTTCCTAAGAAGCCATTTCATTTGGAAGGCATCAGAGAACACCCTGAAATTCTTAGCTAAATCATTGGCCATGCCAACCCCAAATTATAAGTGCTGAGGAATCTGACAGATGGCAACGATCACCCACAAACAATTCCTCGAGTTCTAATGGTGTAAAAGTTTACTCCAGCGATTAAAACTGGAGTAAAGTAACACTGCAACATAGTAAGTGCTCAGCTACTCCAGGGCACCTCAGCTCCTACAGGATCAAGGGAAGATAAGCAAGTAGGATTGGTCATGAAAATAACACAGCAAAATTGAGTTTTCAGTCTTTCAATTCCTTTTTCTCTCATTCTTCCAGTCTTCAAGGAGTCGTGCTGTATACTGTATCAGAGAATCATGAAAGACTAAGAGCTTCCATTACAATGCCGACATTTTGCTCCTTCAGCTGCCTCTGCAGAGCCTTAGTCTGCTAGCCTGTTTCTGTGGAGTACATTCACTGGTGCTATCTAGTTTGGTTCCGTCACTCACAAGAACCATTCAACCACATTTATGAAATGCCAGGAAGATTTCCTTAACCCCATTTTCAGGAAACACAGTACCTGCATAGGAATAACAAGAAAATAAGCAAGGTAGGGAAGAAGTTTAGTTTGAACCATGACTCCAAGTCTCAACCATTCACCCAGAAGAATGTTCTCAACAGCACATGCTTCTGCTGAAGCCCAGCAATAACTCCCATCCCTGTTAACTAGGGGCCCCTGACCCTGGGCTGTGGAGCAGTATGGGTCAGTATGGTCTACGGCCTGTAAAGAACTGGGCTGCACAGCAGGCTAGTGAGTGCAGGGTGAGTGGCCCACGCTTCACCTGTATTTACAGCTACTCTCATCGCTCACATCACTGCCCCAGCTCCACCTCATATCAAATCACTGGGCACGACATTCTCACAGGAGCAGAAACCCTACTGGGAATTGTGCATGTGAAGGATCTAGGGTGTACTCTCCTTAGAAGAATGCAATCCTGAAACCATCTATAGACATCCCTCCCCAGCAGGGAGAAAAATTTCCACAAAACCAGTCCCTGGTGCCAAAATGGTTTTGGACCACCGGTCTAAAAGATGATAGAAAAGCCAGAAATACCATCTAATTGGATTATTACAAGGAGATAGGAAAGGTATGTTATTCCCATAACACAGATGTGGTAATTCCAATTCAGAGAGGTTACAGGATCTGTCAAATGTCACAAAGCTAAGGGGCCACCTATCTCCTCACCCAAGCTCTTGCACCAGCACATGTTGCCAGCTGTGGAATAATAATCCCAGGGGGGAGAGGCTGAGACACAGAAGGGGCTTGGGGAACACACGCACAGCTCTCTGTGGGGCCAGGTTTCATTTTTTTTTTTTTGTTTTGTTTTGTTTTGTTTTGTTTGTTTTTCTTCCAGTACCAGGAATTGAACTCACGACCTTGCGCTTGCCAGGCAGGCGCTGTGCCACTGAGCTAAATCCCCAGCCCCTTGGGGCCAGGTTTCTACAGGCAGCACCATGACCGTACTAATCTGTAGGGGTGGACGAACCATGGCCTCAGAGATCCTGCAGCTTTTTAAGCCTTGACCACTCCAGTGAGTAGAATTTTAGACAATGCAGTCTTCTTTTAAGAGAAAGCCTTGCAAACATCTAGGCATGTTAGAATCAAGTTTTCACGGCCGAAGCTAAGAAGGGAACCAAA